CTAAATACGGAATTTGTTTCGGTAAATAACCGAATGACATAAATTTTATGTAAAAATATTTAAAATGAGGGGTGGCTAAATTAGCCAAACAAGAAGGGTTTTTTCGTAATTTAGTCATACTTCAGGGGTGACCGTAATTTGCCCAAAAAATAATAATTATTATTATTAAAAATATAAATACATCAGGCTCTCTCAACTCCTATTTTTTTTTTAACAATATATATTGGGTTTTTAAAAAATTAATTAACATCCTTAAAAAAGAAATTCATTCATCAGTAAACCACGTTTCAATTGGCAATGAATCAGTGACAGGGATCAATTAATAAGTTATATATAAAGATTTGTTAAATGCTATAATGCAGTACCGATTTCTTATTTATTTTTGTTTTCAGAAAATATAAATTTTTTTGGTCAAATTAAATTAGTTGATTTTATTTGGTAAAGTGTCAACGGCACATTACGACACACGATTTATATTTTAATTAACATTAACAGTTAATTTCTATCAAAAAAAAACATTAACAGTTAACGAGTAATTAATTAATTATAAATGTATTAGTGGATGAACCGTTTCAACAAACCGGGATACTGCCTAAAGGTGCATTTGTCTTCGTCTCCACAACTTCTGACAAAAAGGTGCTACTTTAATTTTTACCACTCATAAATAATTAAAATATTCGCAGTCATATATCATTAATTAATTAATTAATTAATTGCTAACTGTTAATTAATTAGTAGTTAATGAAATTTTAACAATACAGCTGGTTTCTAGTGAGTTCCTTTGATAGATTTATTCGAATCTTGGATGGATGATTTTTTTACAAACATTGACTATTAATAATTAACTAGTAATTGTACCGTGCGATGCACGGGACAACAAATTGCATTCTTTTGATGTTGTAAGAATATAAACAAACGTTTGATGTATCGTATGATCAAAATTCTATTATACTGGAATATTATTAAGTATACTACACACAAAAAAAAAAGGACATAACTTTACTGTTGAATAATTTTCCAAATGAATTGAATCAGCTAATACCAGTAGATTGAAAATTTGAACCAGGAAAAAAATCATCAATTATGTCTTCCATGTTGAGCTTAAAAGTAATTAGATTTAATAACTAAGTTAACATAATCAAAACTAAATTATCGACAACATACCATCGTAAAAGGCCATCTATACATCTTGCATCGGAACTAAGCCCTTCTCCACTGCCTCATTTTAAGGTTGTTTTGCCACTGTAATTAACAATTGGAAAATTAAGAAACAAAAATAAATATAAACAATAAATTAAATATCGCATACAAACAATAAGTCTTGAAGGTCGACATCCAATAGCTTGTGGCTCCGCCCATTTTTGGTTAATTTTCTCAAATCATCCCTTTCAATAACATGTCCAATAACATATAAAATGAAATAATTGTTATACATAAAATTTGAAAACTTTGGTATAAATTAATGAAACACATAATTTAACAAAATGAAATTACCTATAAGCCATGATGGAAAAAGATGTAAACTAATTGCCACACATGCAATAGGATGAAGAAGAAGATAAGAAACAAAATCTAAACTCGGGTTACCAAAAGAAGAAGCCTTAGGTAGGGAAGAAATAAAATTCAAATGTTGCAGACATTCTGTAAAACGATGTCACAAAATCCGCTAGGGATGAAAATCAGATTTATTTACCCTTTTCTGTAAAAATCGAAAATCATATTATTATAAATAATATCTAGGAGAATTTGATGAAAATCGATAATAATATTTAAAATAATATATCGGAGATAAAAATTTGATAAAGAAATCAAAAAAAAAAATATTTAGGAGATAAAAATCAAAAATAAAATTTAAAATAATAGTTAGGAGATAAAAATTTGATAAAAAATCGAAAATAATATTTCAAATAATGTTAATGAGATAAAAGTTGATAAAATATGAAAATAATAATTAGAATAATATTTAGGAGATAAAATATGATTAAAATCAAAATTATTATTTAAAATAATATTTAGGAGATAAAAATTTGATAAAAATCGAAAATAATATTTAGGAGACAATAATCTGATAAAAAACGAAATTAATATTTAGGAGATAAAAAACTAATAAAAACATGATAAAACTCGAAAAAAATATTTAAAATATTATTTAGGAGATATAAATTTGATAAAATTCGAAAATAATATTTAGGAGACAATAATCTGATAAAAAACGAAAATAATATTTAGGAGATAAAAAACTAATAAAAACATGATAAAACTCGAAAAAAATATTTAAAATATTATTTAGGAGATATAAATTTGATAAAATTCGAAAATAATATTTAGGAGACAGTAATCTGATAAAAAATGAAAATAATATTTAGGAGATAAAAAACTAATAAAAACATGATAAAACTCGAAAAAAATATTTAAAATATTATTTAGGAGATATAAATTTTGATAAAATTCGAAAATAATATTTAGGAGATAAAATCTGCTAAAAGTTGAAAATTATATTTAAAATTATAGTTAGGACT